TGACACTCGAATCAGTATCCTTAAGATTCTGTCGAATTTGGGCCGGATTTTTGTCACGTTATCCTGAGACCCTGCCCGTGTTATGTGCCCAAGGTTCCTACCACTCCTTTTAGAGACCAGGTAGTAACCCTGCAAGCGCTGCCCCCGGAGGAGGCAGACCCAGCCCTTACCTTACTCTGTCCAGTTAGCGCGCTGCACATTATGTGGACCGTACTCAGTACTTTAGATCATCTGAGCAGCTCTTTGTCTGTTATGGCAATAGGCAGCAGGGAAGTGCCGTGACCAAACCAAGATTATCCCACTGGATTGTGGAGGCCATTTCTTGTGCTTATTTGAGCAGAGGTCAGCCGCGTCCCCCGGGAGTGCGTGCGCACTACACTCGAAGCGTTGCATCCTCTTGGACGCGTGCACGCGGCGCCTCTTTAACAGACATCTGTATAGTTGCGGGCTGGGCGACACCCAACACATTTGCAAGGTTTTACAATCTGCGAGTGAAACCGGTTTCCTCAAGGGTATTAGGTAACCCTTGGTGATTGAGGAAACAACTCGGTGGGGTGTTGTAATACGCTTGTGGGGCCCTTTTTCCTTAACACTGAGAGATGTGCACCTTCCTGTCTGTCAATAAAGTTCCCCGTTCAGTGAGCCCTGCAGATTCCTCCGAGGCCCCCAGCACTGACTCAGCGGAGGAGTCACTTGATGGCCTACTACATTAGGTCTGCCCACTGGTCAGCCCGCGTTTTTGGGTATAGGTGCCGGCTATGCTATGTGCGATCCCCTTTGGCAATCCCATATGCTTTTTCCACCACGGTTCAGTCCCCCCTCTTGGGTGGACCTGTGCCTTCCCTATCCGCTAACCACCTTTATATGCGCACTCCCCCTTCTTAGGGCTAGTCCATATGTATTTCTATTTTGTCTCCCTCATTGGGTGCGGATGGTCTCAGCAGTGTCCTCCCTACTGGTATTGCACACTTCCCAACGTGCTGTCGTATTCCTAGAATTATCTAGACGCTAGCGACTCCCAAAAAAATATAACTATTCCATAAAACTTTTTTTGAAGTGGGGATAAGTTAGGGCCAAGGGCACGTTGGAGGACTGTGCCTTCCATGATTTGGGTATGTCACGCTTGCTTGACTGCCCTCTCATCGGAGGTGTTGGTAAGGTGCAGTCATTATGGCATTTTCCATAGTCTCCCATACGTGGATTTTAACATCAAATCCACTTATAGCACTGGAGTTCCCCAACCGAAGGGGAACGTTCGAGGTTACAGAAGTAACCCTTCGTTCCCCGAGGAGGGGAACGGAAGTGCTATACTCCGTCGCCATAATGACTGTGCCTTAACTGTTTATAAGTCTCTTCAGCTTAAAAGAATGGCGTTTGCTAGCACCAGGTGAGCTTATATGCTGGGATAATTGGCAATGAAGCACACCTGCGCAAGCTTACGCTGCCAATTCATTGTTTTCATTGGCCCGTTCAATACTCTTTTAGACAAGCGGCTTCTGAACCGAAACCTCCCATACCTGGATTTTAACATCAAATCCACTTATAGCACTTCCGTTCCCCTCCTCGGGGAATGAAGGGTTACTTCTGTAACCTCGAACGTTCTACAGCAGGGGTCACCAAACTTGTTCCTGGAGGGCCGGCGTCCTGCAGATTTTAGCTCCAACCCTAATCAAACACACCTGAACAAGCTAATCAAGGTCTTACTAAGTATACTTGAAAGATCCAGACAAGTGTGTTGAGGCAAGTTAAAGCTAAACCCTGCAGGGACACCGGCCCTCCTGGACCGAGATTGGTGACCCCTGTTCTACTGTATCAAATGCCTTGTAGAAGTCAAGAAATAAAACAAACCCATCCTCTTTAATTAAGTGTCCATAATCAACTAGATCTAAGACCAGTCTATGTTCACTTATAACTTGATTCAATCTAAATTTCAATCTATTAGCTATAGCAGATGTAAGAATTTTATAATCCACAATGAGTAGAGTAATCGGCCTTAAATTCTCAATAAATCTTTTATCTTTGTTTGCCTTTGTAATAAGAATACTCAAGCCCTGTTTCATAGTTGTAAGTAAAGTATTAGAAATCAAACACTCTTTTAATGCTGCAAATAACAAATGTTTTATATCCTCCCAAAACAATTTGTAGAAGTTATTAGTCAAACCATCCTGACCAGGAGACTTACCCAAACACATCTTTTTAATAGCTACTTCAAGTTCCTCTAGCTTTAAATCCTCATCAAACATTTCTTTAAATTCAGTATCTATCTGTGGGATATACTCTTTAACCTTTTCTAGAAATTGAACAGCATTATTTTCAGAATATGATGAAGAATAAATATTACTATAAAATGAATATATTTCCTCAGATATCAGTTTAGAATCCATAATTATTGCATCCTTAATAACTAAAGTATGAATTGCATTACTTTGCTGTCTACTCTTTTCTAATTTACAAAAGTAAGCTGTGTTCTTCTCTCCTTCTTCCACCCATTTTGCCCGAGACCTTACAAAATCTCCTTGTGCTTTCATTACATACATGCTGTCTAATTTAGCTTGAAGAGTGATTAACTTTTCCACATCTTTAACCTTATCATGTGTGTTACAGCAAGCATTAATTTCCTGAATTATTCTTAATTCTTTTAGCAATATATCACTTCTCTTTTGTTTACCAAAACAAATTGAAAATTCCCTTGTTTTAAATTTAAAGTATTCCCATTTAATCCCACTGGAATTTAAAGAGACATCATTCTCAACCTCACTAATTAGGTTTCTAATTTGACTACTATAAACTTTATCCTTTAAAAGTTCTGCATTAAACTTCCAATAGTCTTTCTTAGTAGTATTTTTGTTTACTGGTGTCAAAGTTAATGAAATCACACAGTGATCTGCCAATGGTGCAGCAGAAATTAAAACCTGGTTCGCAAGCTCAAGATATTCCTCAGTTATGAGCCAAAAATCTATTCGTGACCTAGAGGACCCATTAGGTTTGACCCAAGAAAACTGATTAGTATTAGGATTCTTGACTCTCCATACATCTATAAGAGAGTTAACTTGGCAAAATTCCTGAATAATACTATTAAGATGATGACTTGTAAAACTAGAAGGAGATCTATCCATCCATTAATTAGGTGCCAAGTTAAAATCACCTCCAATTAGTACCAAATTTGTATTAAATTTCTATTCAAATTGTAAAACAACCTTTGTTAAATCAGATAATAAAGACTTGTTTTGCCCAGCACTATTATAGCCATACACATTCACTATAATAACAAAAATACCTTCAATGATTAATCACATCAGTAAGCCAATGACCATAATCATCAGACTGAAAAGTCACAACCTTCCCAGGACAATTGTTGAGGCATATGGCGACACCTGCTGATCGATTAGAGCCATGACTGAACAAAATTGTGTCTCCCCACATTATTTTTCAAAAAGCTTCATCTTCAGCAGTAGAATGAGTCTCTTGAAGAAACAAAAACTGTGATTTCTGCCCCATAGCAAACAAAAATATAGTTTTCCTTTTTACTTTGTCCTTTAGACTCCTTGCATTCAGTGAACAAAAAGATAAACTAGATTTTAGTGAAAACATATTCCACTGGAACTCACAGTGAACAAAGAAATAATGTCACAGAACAGTCAGTGTAGAATTGGAAGAATAAAAAAAAAAACTTGCAACGCAAAAAGAGTCTCTGAATAATAAGCTTTTCCCTTATTCAAACCTTTCATCATACTGCATGAACTGCATCATAATCAGTTTGTATTATTTACATATCATGTCAAAAAATCGGTGTTCAAATAAGAATAAAACAGAATATAACATAAATTCTTTGATGCCTGAGTTGGGATTTTTTTTTATTAAATTGTGCCTATGTAGGCTATTTAAAAATATAATCAATACTGATGCTAAGGAATGACCCCTATTTACAAATATATATTTTTGATAACTCAAGAAGTTATATGTTCTAAAAAATCTAAAATAGTATTAGGCCAGTTCTCTGCTCATTTCAAGAAAAAAAAAAACTATTTCATTATGTTTAGTGGTCTGCTAGCAATTTATGAAATCATACTAATAAATATTTATTAAACAACACAAGTTCTTATTTATCACTCGTACGCCAATTCTTATTTATGACAATTATTACATCATTATTACATCAAAAGTTATTTGCAATTTGCTGCATGAAACAACATCCTAGTTATTTTTATACCCCTATAGACATTGCTTATATTATTCCAGTTGTAATCCTGTGTCTAATGATGGTTACATGTGCACATCTTAACTTTTGTGTTGTCTGTTTACTACTAATAAACCTACAACGTTCTCGAACTCTTCAAGTGTGTCATCACGGAAATATTCCCAATAATCTGTCAGTCCCAGGCTCCCAGCACCAATTAAATAACCCTGGCCCCTGCTTATTCTAATTTCTATTCCACTGGATATAGTATTGTTCATATCCTTCACATCTGTGAATTTCCTCTGTAGAATAATTAAAATATTTGTTTTGTCCATGTTTAAAAAGCAAGGAACAAAGATTTTAAATTTGGCACAATTATTGTGTTACTTGATTACGTTTTATGTTTCACAGAAGAGATAGCCTAATGTTTATTTTGTGCAATTTCAATTGAAATACTTTAACAACAACAACAACGACGACGACGACGACGACAACAACAGAAAGACGTATTCTGAATTACATTTAGGTAAATAAATTTATTTTTAGGCACTTTTGTGCCCTTTTAGGTCTTTCTGTCCCTCTTCATTATAACAGAAAAACAGAGAAAAAAAATAATAAAATGAACGTTAGATAAAAAAATATAGATACCAGGTATACACATATATATAATAAACCCCTCTGAAGCTTAAACCTTTGTCTGCTTTACAGTTTGACACCTCCCCTTACACGGGGTTTCTTTTAAACGTACGCTACGTACATGATGACTTGACTTTTTTCTTTCCCTTTCTTTTTAGAACTCGCTTATTCCTCTTCCTCGTTCACAAGTGTCATACCCGTTCTCAGCGTGCGCACTTCATACCAAGGGATTCTGTCAAATTGAGGAAGAATGTCCGCTTTTATCAGTTTTTCTGTTGTCTTGTTTAATATCATCGATGTCATCACAGGTAAGTTTCATTTGTTAAAGGTTTACACATATACAACGAATTGTTGTCTGGTAATACTTCACGTATAGGGATTAAAACTGTATATCTGTATCTCAGGGGAAAACCAGTCTAGCAGTTCGCCTAACTTCCTGTTTGTTGTTAACGTTACTGGACGATTTAAACAGGAACATTTACAGAGTCAAACTGTTTTACATGTGTGTGCCTCAATCTTTTTCGCCTCAATGTAAACCTTATCACTTAATTAATTTTGTATTCACGAGCTTATACGGTCCGTGTACAATCAGGGTGTTTTTCACTACGGTCAAGCCAGCCGCGGTTCGGAAAAACACAGTCAAGCCAGCCGCGCTTAATATTTTGGTGCGCGCGCATTATTATCACTACGGTAATGTCAGCAGCCACACAGAGAGCGCTCCACAAGAGCATCCATTTCGCCCAGAACAGAGAGATAACAACGAAACATTAGTTTCTCCCACTTTTCTCCCACGTATGCTTTATTAAACATTTTATTAGCTCTTCTTTGACAGTGCTGTTATTTTAAGAAATTGGTGTATGGGCTTACCTGTAATTTTCTTTAAGTTTATCTTTTTGCTTAAAGTGATTTTATAGCAGATCAAACGGACAGAATAAATATACTATTTATTCTAAATATACTAAATACCCAGAATGCGTTTCTATTTCTCCTAGCCAACTACAGTACATTGCAAATAAGGTTAAATGCAATTTTATAAAACGTGGCTAACCTCAGAAAGTGAAAACAATCATAAAGTAGTCCAACAAAACATTGTTTGAGTTACAAATATATGTTTATTTCATTTAAAGGGGATTTTAAAAGGTATGCTTCTTTCAGTATATGGGATATGGGGCATTACTACACTTTAGATGACTGTAAAGACCTTAATTTGTTATAAGTAGAATAGAACAACAATATCTGATGCAGGAAGTCTACTGTATGCATACATCATATGAAGCCTGTCTTTCTGCAGCATTTTGGACTAATGTACCATTAACTCACTTTAAAGTGCTATAAAGAAATAAGTAGAAAAAAACAAAGCTTGGTTCTGATACAGGATGTACATGCATACTCATGTGAAAGACCTACAGATGTTACTACTTCAATGTGTTCCTTGTGCCGCCATTCATACCGCGGCGACGGCGGTACTTGATGCGCCAGCAGCATTTGACCGCTGGGTGTCACTTTAACCACAGATATTCAGCTTTGTCTTTTCACGATGCTAAACAGACTGTTCTGTAGGCGTAGCTTACTGTATGTGATGTGATGTGTTCAATTAAAATATAATTTTAATTTAGTTTTTCTGGTAATAGACATGCTCTTACACTATACTATGCTGCAGAAAAGATACATGGTGAGAAGTCAAAAAGCAAATATAAGAATTAAGTTATTAGCCTTCAGTGCCCGATTAAATTGCGTTGGGGTGAAAATAATGTTTTGATTTCTTTGACTATCATGGCAATGTTATTATCTCAAATCTTAAACGTGCGCATATAAAAAACAGCAAAATAATATAGATTATTCTGCCGGTAGAGCACATCACCTCACAGTTGTGAACTTGCGATCACCTCAACTTACATTTAAAATTTGTTTACCTGGTTTATTGTAAACTTTTTAAGTGCAAAGAGGATTCGTTTTGGAAAATAGAATTGAAGAAATGAAAGACAACTAAAGTGAAAGCATAAACATTCAGTACAAATAAGTAGTCTTAAATAAATAAATAAATAAATAAATAAATAAATAAATAAATAAAGCAGTCTTTTAGTCTAAATATAGAGAGATGTAGTTTGCTATTTTGATAGGACTAAGACAAGATATTTTCATTTATGTTTTTAATTTACGTTTTTATTTACATTTTCGTTGTTGATTATATTTTACTATCTCATTTTATGTTTCAATTATAGTACATAATAATAAACGAATAATGAAAATAAATAAATAATGAAAATAGGACATAAATTAAGTCTGGCAGGTTTATTTTTAATAATTTAGTTTCAGTTCCGTTTTTTTGTTTCAAAACGTCAATGTTCTGCTTTAAAGTATAACGGTTTTGTTTTGTTTTTTTACTTAATGGCTCAGTAAGTTTTGTATTTTAATTTCATATTCAGTCACCTTGCATATGCGTGTGAAATATAATGCCGCATAACCGCGGAAAAAGAAGAAAAGGCTGTCAGTTAAAGCTAATCAAAATTAGCTATATTAAAATACAGCATTTATGTTAATACAGGCAGAGTGTGAACAAACTCAAGGCTAAGATATGCGCTTGTTTTTTTAATGCATTTAAAAATAAATGCTATATAAATAAATGTTTTTTTTTTTTTTTTACTTTTTTTGTATGGTAAAGGACAATGCACATTATGTTATTGATGTAAACTTAGGCTAAAACTTACCATTGATAAACGTGACCTACCTCAAGCAGATCACTTAAAGTGTAATAAAAATAATGTTGCAGCAGGACATAAACGAAGTCCCGCAAGTTTATTTTTAATAATTTAGTTTCAGTACTATTAACTTTTTTTTCTCAAAACATCAATAGCACCTTCAATAATCTAAACATTAAAGATAGACCGCAAGATGTGTTGAGTGGCTATATGTGGTGAAGAACGATGGCAAAGCTAAGTGTGATTATTGTAATAAACTAATAAGTTATAAAGCAGAGAGTCCCGACCAACAGGACTGACTTAGCATATGCGGTTGGCTCATTCTTCACGAATATAGAATTAAAATAATGGCGCGTTAGGTTCATTGTGCATCCCGCAGGTGCAACCAACAAGAGTTGTGCATTTTAGTTTAACTTTTTTGAGCGTTATAAGCAGCTCGGTGTTAGTTTTTAATTAAATATATCGAGCCGAAACTAAGCAGCGCATTCTCTCCGCCTCCTCCTTTATAACCAGCGGGACACGCTACTGAAGCAGGAGACACTCCGTCGTTCATAATCTTAGCTGATGTGTCGGAGTCGATAGAATATATCAAAGAGGAATGTTCTTTTTACAGTGCCGATATGTTTAATCTTTTTTTCCCTGTCATTTCTCTTCAGCAAATTATATTTTTAAAGCTGCTTGATTCTTTTAAAACCGAAAGCAGAGCCCGTCAATTGGTGTTTTTTCATAAGATACTCCTTTATTAATGTTTTATTTTATGAGTGTCTTTAATGTGCTTTTTAATAGTTTTATTTTATTCAAAGCAGCGCCTAAAAGCCAATTTATCCTCAAATCGTGGCATGCGAGCGATGTCATATCGCATATATTGCCTTTTTTTCTGATCTTTTTGCATAAAGGTTTTAATCAAAAGACAGGTAATTTAATTACTTTCGATGTGCTAAAATATTTGTTAAATAAATGTTATTAAAAAAAGGCATATGCAATGTGCTCTGACGGGTAAAATCAGATTCTTTCTCTCTTTCAAGTTCAAAGCAAATTTGAATGCCAAAGGATTTTAGATGCATATACAAGACTATATGTAGTATATTAACATCAACAAATTAATAAAATAAGTAGCAAATGAGAAATAAATGACAGACAAGTTGATAAAAACAGACATTATCTCTTAAAGTTATCAGAATTGCAAGATTAAAACAGCTGAATATAGGCCTAAAATAAATCTAGAAAGCTTGCGCACTGATATTTATTCTTTTTTTTTTTTCGAATAGCGAACAATTTCAACCGCGGGGAGATACCGACAGCTTGATTTGCAGTATTTTCTAACATGTTAGAAGAGGGCAGCGGACATGGCTGCCGGTGGGGAAGCGGTTGTGCCCTCAGCAGCTGATTGAGACGGAGCTGCATATCAAGTGCACTAAATAGGGCTCAACCTGTGCAGTGCACATGCCCTTTTTAGTCTTGGATAGAAAGTGCCCTTCCAAAATGATCAAAAGTGCCCCCGCGACGCGGCACACCCTCGGTCCCGCCCTTCAGTAGGCGCGCAACAACACCGCTCTTGACAACACCACGTCAACACCGCTCTTCAGTACTCGCGCAACAACAACCCCCATATTTGTTTGCACTACTGCCCTTTTTGCCCTTTTTGTCTTGTTTGTGAGACGCGACGCTGCACTGCTTTGGCAAAACGAACGTACAGTTACTTGTCATGCCAATAAAGCACCTCAAATGTGAAAATGTGAAAATAGCCTAGGCAACAAATAAATAGTAGTCTAATAATAACAAAAAATGCCCTTTTCATTTTCATACAATAGGCCTATGTGTGGGTTTTGACAATATGTGTTTAATTAAGCTATAAAGATTTGCCTATCAGATGAAATGCATAGTAAAATATGAAATAAATGTCTCTTTTGCTGAATATTTAATTAATCTATTTAATATTTTAAAAATCAACTCCTTTTTGCCCAGAGAAAGAGGCGCGCGGCACTAGCGGACATGGGGTGCTTTCCCCGGCTGAACTATGCACAGTTTGGGGAAAAAAAGGATATAGTGATGCATGTTTCCCAAAACCCCTAGTTTCTCTGTCGCAGATCCATCATTTGAATCACGTTGTAAGTAAAACGCACATAATGATAAAGCACACCATCATCACGAGGGCAATTAAATAAAGACAACCTAAACATATTTTTAATTGTTTATTTATGTAATGTGAGTTTTTATAACTTTGTTCTTTAAATTATTTCAATATAATTTAGGCTATTCTATCGTGATAACACCATAAAAGGCCTTCAATGCATTGATATAGGTAATAGGGATACAATGAAAAGCCGATTTCACTATTGACCCTGTTTTTATTCATTGACGGCTTCCCAACGCTGCAATTCTGTTGCGCGAAAAAAAGCTGCTGCAAATAAGCAAATTTATGACAATACACATTTAATAGTTTCATGAAAGTAGTTGCTGGTGTGCTTCATCTGCGTGATTCTGATTTGACATTCTTCCGCTAAACTTGCTCTGTGTTGAGGTGTGAATGGGCTGTGCTCTTTGCTATTGATGCTAAGGCATCAAGGTGTAAATGAGCTATAGTTCTCTTTGCAACTTTCAATTTTGAG